GGCGAGCATCCCTCGCACGGGAGCAGTGGGGTCAGGAACGGCGGCGGATGGTGAAACTGGGCTGCTGGGGGAAAGGGCTGCTAAAGCACAGCGAACCGAACCCTGCACTCCCGTACGGGTCGCAGATACGGCAGGGCCGGCGTTAAAAAGCAGACTTTGGGTTTAATCTGAGATGAAATTCCCGCGCTGCACCATGTGGCTTTCAATGTCTGGAAATGGCTCATTGATCTTAGAGAAGCTGCGTGCAGAGTTTTTACTGAGATGAATAGAACATGCTCAGTTTCTTGTCAATAGACGTGTCTCTGCTCATTCCATAGGTTAACCAGTTTATGACCAAAATCTTAGAGAGTTATATAAGGAAAAATCCCAAGAACCCACGGAGGGTTACATAGCTGAAAATACATACGACATTCTATCACTACAACTAGAATGCAAGACACCTGAAACTACTAAACCCCCAATATTCTGCAGGTCTGCATGAGCACCGAAGGCAATGTGGGAGAAAACAATTTTGCTTAAAGAGCACCATCTTAAATTAAAAATGCATTGAACAAAATCTCAAATACAGTCTTCCAGGTGCTTTGTGAAGTTACATCAGTATGATCTAGAAGGGCTGTGACAGTTCACCCTGGTTGAAGACTTGGCCAAAAAGGTTGGTTCTTTCACTCATCATGGGGCAGAAAGAATTCTTAATGCTAAGAAGTGAATTCATGTGATGGTTACATCACATGTAAAACAAACCAACCAACCAAAAACTCCAAAATCCACATCCCAACCCCACCAAACCCTGAAGTTGAAAAGACTCCCATAGAATTCAGCAAGAATTCATCTGATGGGTAAAGATAATTTCAATATGTAGCTATTTAAATTTAATATTCAAACTTCTCTTTAAAGAGAAACTCAGGACTCTTCCAATTATTTTTTAGTGAATAAAGTGTCACTAGAAGTAAACTTTAAAATCAATATGGAGTCCACAGCCAAGTTCAGCCTTCAGAGTTTTCTTCCATTTACTCTGTCAGTATTATTTGATGTAATAAAGATATTATTACCTCATGACATTTAGGCTGGGGGGCAGGGGGCAGGGGGAGGGAG